CCGAGTATGTTAAGGTCTGCAGAGTTAAACGTGTTTTCATCATGTAAACTTGTTAATGAATATTATTTTAAATTAATCAATAGCAAAATTTCAAATCTGGAATGATAGAGATATATTCAGCATTGTGGTCACAGAAAACCCGTAAAATACGACCTCATGTCATTGACTTAACCACAACGTCATGCATTCAATTGGCCAAATTACAAATAGCTATTTCGAATAACACATGTCACCTAAGCACAGACTACTATAGTTTAGCATACGTCAATACGGGTATTAACCGTCTAAATTGTTTTATTACTCGACAATTCTAACGACGCTACCGTTTAGTTTTAAATGCACATAGCACTGTTCTAACAAACATTTATTGTTATGTTACCGGCATTTAATATTAGATTTTTCGCATTGTTCATACTAAGTTCTTTTTATTTATTTAGTAATCCTATAGCCATCATAAATTTTTCAGCCAAAGATGGAATACATAATATGTAAAAATTTCAAACATTAACGAAAAAAATTATTAAAAATATTTATGTAAGTAATACCTAATTCGGGTGTTGTGTGATGGTGTGAAAGTGAGGTTGCGTATGTGGGGTGTGCTCATGATGCTGGTTAGGTAGCACTATGGATATTCTTAGTACCTACTCCTTTTAAGCATATTCCGCGATAGCTTAAATAAGTCAAGTCTATTTGAATATTTACTTTTAAACACTTATAAATATAGTTACAGAGACTCGTATAAGTCCCACAATCGATATGTTATACTCTGTGGGATTTTCATAATAGATAATGTGCTACGTAAAAAAGAAATAAAACCTATTTATTCATAAATCATTTTATTTAATATAACTACCAGTAATATTTATTTATTTACACTTTGTTACATTTTTAGCAAAACTAATAATATAATACATACAAATTATAAGGGATGAAACGGGCGGCCTTATAACAAGCGATCTCTTCCAGGCAACTATTAAGGAAAAAAAATTTAAAAATTAATATTATGTGTACAGTGCAAGAAGTGTATAAACAAATCTTATAAAAAAGATGATACAATCATCAACCTAGATAATACAAAAAAATATTATAAAATAAACTAAAAACTAAAAAGCTAATCTCACGGTTTCACGAATTGCGATGCTATACAAAAGAATAAGAAATACAATAATTACAAAAGTCACCATTGCTTAGGATAGGATATAGGGGTAATAGTTCCTTATTATTATAGTTACTTGCTCGTTTCTTTTCTACAATTTTAGCATCCCGTGAGGGTACAAGGCATTAAACTAAGTGTGCATATAATACTCGTATATAGAAGTAGATTACTCACATTAGCAATGGTGTAGGGTAAATGCAAGTGTTTGGGAGAGGTGCGGACGGTCGGGACTCCTGCGTGGGTAGCTGCACTGACGAGAGCAGTGGCCACAGGTCCACCACTGCAGACGAATAGCGCTGCCACGCGTCGCCCTTCGAACGCCGAACACATCTGCTCCAACACTCGCGCACTGAATCTGAAGAATATGAAAAACAAAGTTAGAATATAAATTACTTGGAGTTGTTTTTAATAATTTGGAGAAACTGATCGTAGTTGGTAAAGCAGAAGCCAAAAGATCGCGTGGCCGTTCACCAACCAGATGGACCGATTAAGTGCGAGACTTATCGTCCTCAAAACTGTACACTGTCATACAAGAGGCGCTGGACAGACACCGGTGGATAGTCCGCTCCAAATGGTTCGTTGCTGACCACGACGCTCAGACATGAGCTGCTGATCAAAGAGAGAGAGAGAGTAATAATAATGTTCTTCGTAATGTTATGCAATATAATGGTTATTTGAGGTACTGTTAAACAATTGGATTTGCTGGTAGAAGTATAAAAAAGTTTACGGCTTATTGAATTGATGAAGCCTGTTCAGACGAATTTGATTGCCGACAGGAGAATATTATATAGATACATATATGTACATTGTTTAATATTTGTATTTTATATTTCCGAACAACTTCGACTATCCTTTAAGAAAAGAGCGTACCAATTAAAAGGCGACGCACTCGCGAGCCCTCTGGCATTGAGAGTGTCCATGGGCGGTATCACTTAACATCATGTGAGCCACCTGCCCGTTTGCTCCCGTTCTATAAAAAAAAAATATTGATGCTGGGCCTTACAACTAAGATGGGCAGGACACGTAGCCCTTTATACAGATGACTATCTAAAACAGTCACTGAATGGAGCGGTCCAAAAGGATGAAGAACAAGGGAAGACCAATAGAGCGATGGGCCGAATCGGAAGGGTAGCTAGAAAAATTAGATGACGATGGCACAAAATAAAATAGGGTGGAAAAAGTTAGATGAGGCTTTCTCCCGGACAGGGGCTGTATCTTAGAGTAGTAAATATTTTATTAATAAATTTTTTTGTTAAATAAATGTCATAAGATGTAGATGAATAAATGCCTATTATTATTGATACATTCTTTAATACATCACCCTTACGTGTGGCATATTTGTGGTAAAACGCCAAATTATCTTTCACCCTAATAACATTGGGCTTATTTTGTATATAAAAGCCTATAAATATATCTTAGGACTGAAGTATGTGTTGTAAAATAGACATTATAATTAAATGCACTATCACATTACAAAGCAACCCACAAGCGATTAGTACAACTGTAATACACTCGTATAGTTTAGTACTTACTAGACCGCTTCTACAAACATATCAAGGATCAATCATCGGGCAGGAGGCAAGTATATTATGTAAGTTACAATTTACCAAGTACATGAAACGGGAGATTTTACGTGTTAATATATATTGCATCTACTTACATAACTAGAAAATTAACAGCGTTTTAATTCCGTAAAATTGTTCAGTTCGTAATAGATATTTTTATTTTAATAAAATTTTGTTTAGGGTATTCCATATATTTTGACTCAGCCACTACATTTGATTTATTTTATGATTTGACACACACTTGAAATTGTTTTGAATTTCGCTAGGTATTTGTACAGTTTTTGTACGTATGTACTATTTGTGATTATATTTAAAGGTATTTGTCATAGTCAGCGTACAATTACTTTCGTTATCCTATCAGTGGCGCTACAACCTCTTTAGGTCTTGGCCTCAGATTTGTGAATCTGTTACATGATCATTTTTTAAATCTAATAGGCAAGTAAGTGCCTGACTCACGCCGTCGACTTTTTGGGTCGGGTACATGTCGGTTTCCTCACGATGTTTTCCTTCACCGTTTGAGCAAATATTAAATGCGCACATAGAAAGAAAGTCCATTAGTGCACAGCCGGGAATCGAACTACGTCCTCCGGTATGAGAGTCGCACGCTGAAGCCACTAGGCCAACACTGCTCTCACTAATTTCATTATCCCTAAATTTATTATTTCCTCATGTTAGGACTGATAATTATGTGCATTTTGCATCTTTCATATCATGGCTTACTTCATATCATGGCTTAATATTTACTGTCAAAAGTATTAACGTATTTATATTCAATAATTATAGCGATACTAATTACGAATGCATAAGTAGTACCAGCATTCAATAACACCGCAAATATACTACCATGAACAAATATTAGATTACTCACGATCACATTGCATAGTATACAGTGTGATTAATTAAAATCTCATTTCTATTAAGTACATAATCTATTTGTTTATTACTAAATAAGTCAGGGTTGTTTAGGAATTATGTAAGTTTTTCTAGTACCTGTACTTCGTTAAATATTTTAAATGAAAAGGAAATATACTCTATATGACTACAGCTAGTGTAAGTGATACCTTTTTGATTGACTTAGATAAAAAACAATCCTTTCCATACCATACATTATGAATTACACAAAAGTAATTTGTTCAAAGAAGCTCCTAAAGTCTAGTAAGTAAAGAATTGAGATCATATAAACATTTCCTTTAATCGAAAGATATTTCTTTTGTTTTTTTGACTTGAGCTAATCAAATTAACTAAGGCATTGCGTGACCAATTAAGCAGCGGAGGCGGTAAATATTAACGAAGTATTCAATCCAGTTAAGTCGTAATGATTGGACAGTTCCGTTTTCGGAAGATTACAAAGGATTGTCGAATTAACAAAATCGACGTATATGGAATTCTAACTCTCAAAGTAATCAAAAGGACAATTACGGGCCACTGGCTCCTTAATAAACATCTCTTTTTTCTTGGTGTGACAGAGAGTCCTTTGTGCAATAGCTGTTTCAGAGCAGAGGAATCATTCATGGCTTTTTTGGCATCCCAATGAACAGAAATCCTCGCAGTGAGGTCGCTCCGTGAAGCCTGCGATGTGCTCTAGAAATTTCTGAGCTTCTGGAAGGAGCTAGGCTGGCTTAATTAGCCAGGACTTCACGCACGGGCCAAATGGACGTCTTAGTACGGAGTCTGAGTCCACACTGCATATATGGTAATGTGTTTTTCTTGGAGTATTTTCAATTCCAGAAGTATTATAACCATAATAATTGAAATATCCGCAAGGGATTTAATGCTCGCCTGCTAGAATTATCAGGAAACTGGTTACTTTAAAATTGTTAGTAAAAAATAAATAAATCAGTGGCGCTGCAACCTCTTTAGGTCTGGGCCTCAGATTTCTGAATCGGTTTCATGATCATTTGTCAATCTAATTGGCAAGTAAGTGATCAGCCTCCAGTGGCACACGCTGTCGACTTTTTTGGTCTAAGACATGTCGGTTTCCTCGATGTTTTCCTTCACCGTTCGAGCAAATGTTAAATGCGCACATAGAAAGAAAGTCCAGCCGGGGATCGAACCTATGACCTCTGGTATGAGAGTCGCACGCTGAAGCCGCTAGGCCAACAATGCTCAAAATTGTTAGTTATCTTATAGAATTTTAATCTGCAAAATTTTTTCATCACCCCGCTATAAATAATGTATCAATCGAATCTAATATGTATGAATCTTAGTTTCAAGCCACATACGAGCACTCAGTATCACTCAGTTCAGGCAGCGATATAGCAGCGTGTTAAAGCTTAAAGATGTCTCGCGAATATCCTAAGGTCTGGGGTAAATTCGAACGAAATGTTGAGGGAAAGGCTCTAGCGTTTGTAATTGAGGATGTCCCTGAAGAAATGTGGGATTCAGCAGTGGAGTTTATGCTCGGTAATTACATTGAGGAGGACGTTTGGTGGTCGACTGCCGGTAAGATAAAATTTTCAATTTACGCTTATCATTTTGTTTACGTTCTGATTTTAAATTAGGAATTCGCATTTTATTTATTCTATACAGGTTGGATATTTATAATACGACTAGCTGACCCGGCAAACGTGGTTTTGCTATGTGTATTATTTCTAGTTTTAGATTAATAGGTTTTTTGGAACAAAGAACCAACTATCTACAATAATAAAAAATAGGGGTTGATCGTAGAGGTGTGAAAATAAGGGGATGTATGTATTTTCTATGCTGTATCATAAAAAAAAACAAAAAAGAAAAAAAAAATATCACTGAGGGGTTTGAAAGATATATAGTAGCCGATTCTCAGACTTACTGAATATGCATATGATAATTCATAAGAAGCGGTCGAGTATGGTTCCGTTTCGGAGGAGTATGGGAACGAACATTGTGACACGAGAATTTTATATATATAGAGATATTAAAAATTAGTGGTAAATAAATATAAAAGAATTTCGAGAAGAGTTGGAGAGATTATGGCGTTCAATATATCTTATTTGGTTCTCAAGGAAACAAGTGATAATATATATGAAATAACGAAAAATAAGTTTAAGTATCCTTGTAAAATTAAACAGTTGCTATTTTTCTAAAGCGTATATAGAGAAAATTGTTATTATTCTATTTAAAAAATACTTATGTAAAGGCGTGTGATTCTCAAATCTGATGTGTCGATCTCGAGCCCATCTATCTACCGACATACTTTCGATTTATGCACATAATATGTATTCCTACGACGAAGGAAAATGTGGTTGGTAGGAATGCTGGGATACTTTCATACAAATATTGGCGATTAACTGCTCACGTACTTGCCTATAAATTTACTAGAAATAAACGTCTGCTCTTCTTTGCTTCCAGAGCAGTGTTGGCCTTGTGGCCCTCTCTTGGCACCAATGGACTGTTATTTCGATGATCAAAAACATCGTGAGGTATCCGGCATACCTTAGACACAAAAATTCCATGTGTCAGACATAGAAGGACTTACTTACATGCATTTAAAAAAAGATCACGAAACACTTAAAGCAACCTGAGGCCAACATCAAAGGCCCTACCACTTTTTTAGTCGGTTTTATGCGATGGAACTTCCCGGCTTATGAAAATAGTGCCCAAATTTTATTCATCACAGTATCGTTGTTTAAATAATTCATTCGTGTTCCCAAGTCAAAACTATATGCAAATTAATATACCCCTACAAATTGTTAGCCTATTTATTTAATGCTAAAATAATGCTAATTACGCAGCCAATAGAAGTTCGCGATCGAATTTGTCTGTTTAATCTCTATTTGTTTAGTAAATTGTGTCGTTATTTCGCTTCACTTAAGCTTAACTCTATGTAATGTTGTGATAAGGATCTTATCCTATTTACTTGCTTGTTTCATGTCCCTTGCAATATAATACGTGGTGAGTCTTGACAAACTAACCTATTTCTCCGATTATTTAACTTAAATATTTGTGATATGATTTTAAGTACATTTTACTGTTATAGAATAACAATAAAATCAGTGGCGCTTTAAAGTCTGGGGCCTCAGATTTTTGTATCTGTTTCATGATCATTTGTCAATCTAATAGGCAAGATCAGCCTCCTGTGCCTGACACTCGCCGTTGTCTTTTTGGATATAATGTTATCCTTCACCGTTTGAGCGAATGTTAAATGCTCACATATAAAGAAAGTTACAGGTGCACAGCCAGGGAAAAACCTACGACATCAAGGATGAGTGTCGCACGCTGAAGCCACTAGGCTAGCTATCACTGCTCTGTTTTAGAGAACAATAAAATCTCTAAGTACTTAAACAAAATTGCTTATAAAATTGCAAAACTGGTTTGGTACACATGTCCTCACATGTATTAAAAATCAATGTATTTATTTTTGTTAATATACTTATATATATAAATTATTGTTGAAAGGGGGACTCAAAAACCATGCGTGCAAGGCTGTAGTGATGTGTATTTATTGGAACGAAGTTCCTTATCGCGCGTTGTGAAAGGGGGCTAGACGGAAAAAATTCTTACGAAAAGTTGTCACGACACTTTTTTGCTATTTGCTATTGTAATACACCGGTTCTCGTCCGATCACCGAAGTTAAGCAACGTCGGGCGAGGTCAGTACTTGGATGGGTGACCGCCTGAGAACACCTCGTGATGTTGGCTTTTTTTTGTAGGGATAAGAAATGAAAATTATTTTTGGAATCACTTAACTAAATTAGTCTTGTTGGAACGAAGTTATCGAGCGTTGCGAAAGGAGGCTAGACGGAATAAATTTTTCGTCGTAAGATTGGTGTCGAGAAAATCTATCATACTGTTATGATACCAATTAACATATAAATTAATCGAAAGGAATTTCGTTCCATCCGGGTGTCCCTTGACACCTCTAAAGTTTTTTTATTGCATGCATTAGTAAAAGGAACACAAAAATAACAAACACTAGACACATAGTTCAGTTCGATATAATCATTAGCCGCCTAAATAGGCTTTAAGAAATATTAATGAATGTGAAGCTTCTCAGTCTTGCTTGAATAATTTTGCTAATTTCTTCTAAACTCCGGCTTTCATGTAAGAAAATTACGTGTAGTATTAATTAGTACTTTATTACATAAGATATCAGGCTTGCCCCTAATTACAAGGGGCCCAAGATGTCAAAGAAAGATAGGAGCATGATTTGAATATCACAAATTGATTTATGAATCCATTATAAGGGCGATGGAATGATTAATGAATGTAACATCGACAGGGACTGCACAGGATCAAGAAGCGATTCAGGAGTACCGTGTTCTGTGGCAGTCTATAATTAAGCAGAAAATGAGTCTGGCATGTTTTCTTATTGGGGAAAATGATGAGAAAACTCTAGTTGGCGTCAACATGTGCATGCTGCAGGAAAAGGACCAATTTGTTGAACATAAACCGGTGAGTTTCAATATTAATTTATTCCTGATACAATGGTGTGGATATTTTTATTCCTGTTTTTGTCAACGTATGTTTTTTAAAATTACTATATAAACTACAGTTGCATAATTTTTCGATTCACTCTTGAAAATTGCCGCGATTCACAAATTATTATTATTTTTTTAAAGACAATTCACACCAATTGACCTAGTCCCATGCTAAGCTGGTGAAGCTTGTGTTATTGGTACTAGGCAACGGATATACATACATATTATAGATAGATAGACATATAAATACATATTTAAACACCGAAGACTTAAGCACAACACCAAATGCTCATCACATCGATGTTCGTCTCAGCCGGGGATCGAACCCGGGACCCATGGATTCGCAGTCAGGGGTACTAACCACTAGACCAATGAGTCGTCTAAATTATGACTCAGTATTTCAGCTGTAAGACATTCATAATATATTTAATCATTAATAACTGTAGTAACTTAAATTCAACCCAGCCAGAATGTTTTCTTGTTGTTTCAAATAAAATCAAACTGAGAGAAAAATTAAGCAACTGTCACCCGCACCATGCAACAGCGCACATAGTATAATGGAACCAACTATAAGCCTTAATATTCTGAAAATGTAAAATGTTTTAACTGCATGTATTAAACAATATATACCTACATAATATAAGATGAACGAATGTAAGATATATAATAAGATTTGAAATAAGATTTGACGTGATGGTGCGAAAATGAACAAAATACATCGCCCGCTTAGTATTACCTAAGTCAAATTTTTTGGTGTAAGATTTGAAATGCTACAAACAAAATGGAATTCTCTACCGGTTAGTGAGAGAAAGAAAAAGGATAATAATAACTCTGTAAACATAGCTGCGCCTCTCTCACACCCCTGCCGCGAATACCCCTACTGCTACAAGTTACTAATTAGTAAAGTGTCCATATTCAAAGAAGTTAGACTGTTCAAATGTTACGTAATTCGGGTTTGTTTTGGAAGGGTTTCCATGGTAAGAAAACAGAATAGTTTCGTTACAATCGTTTAAGGATCCTAAAGAACAATTTGTATTTCATTCAAAACGATAGTTTAAATAAAACTGTGCTCAGTGACAGCAATTCAATATAATGTGTAAGATTTGGGAACCTTTTAAGTAAAGAAATACCTGTGTCAGGGTTCCCAGCTCTTCCATAACGAAAATATATAATTTAAATACATCCTTTTTGAAGTTATACTTCTTTAGGCGCGTTATGAAAAATTGATGAGAGTGAAACTTTACGATGCGCGCGCACCGTGACACAAAATTATCAGTATGAAGATGCTACGGCATTGGACATAATTTAAAAACAACATTTGAATAATAATAGAATTTATGTTACACTTAATGTAAGAAAATAATAATAAATATTTATTTATTTAATTTTTCAAATGTAAACTGAACTTTATTGACTATAATGACTCCTTTTCCAGTCTTTGATTATCTAATTGTAATTAATTATTTGCATGCAATCAAAAACTATTTTTAATAATGCCAAAGAAGTATAACTTCTTACGCGTGTACATAAGTACACGCACCCTTTATTTAATTATTTTTGTGTAATGTTTTCAATGTAGTACAAGGAATTATTCCTGACTGATTCTGTATACTACATAATTCTTGTCAAACTATATTTGTACTATATTATTAACTTATTTTACTTAAATTATTTTTCCTCAACTTATTTTAAAATTATTTTTTTAATCAGTCGTAATTTATAACATTGAAATAATTTTCGATGCTTCCTATAGTGACATTCGAAGAACAAATCTGTAAACTTTCATAATCATGAAATTAATAAAAAGTATTTTATGAAATAAAACAATGCGGAGCGAAAGAAACCAAAAACTTTAAACACGATTTACCAAAATTATTCTTTTTCGAATTATGCCTTTGTATTACTTGGGTGCGACATGACATCTAAATTTCACAGATTACAGAAGATAGTCAAAGAGGCGTTTCGTTCATGTAAAATTATTTTCTGATATATTTTGATATAATGCTTATAGATAAATGCTTTAGCGTTATTTTACGCAAACAAGATCGTAAACAATGGTAAGTATGTAATCAATAATACGCTTGATCGCGCACACTAAAGGTATTGAACTAATTGATGTAAATCCTAATATGCATATAGTATAGACATTATTACTAACACTAATTAACAAAACAAGACGCTATCTGTAAAGCGCGTGAAACATTGTTTATGTTTAGTCAAATTAAACCATGGTAATAGTAATATTGAACGCGTTTCAAACATTAACCCCAATTTAATAAATTACGACGATTTTAACTAGTGTACTTTAGTGTCCATTTTATACCACAGCCTAACAATTTTCTCAGAAAGAGAAGATTTTTTTTAACATAACTGGATAGAGGTTTGGCCTCAATCCCATCTGATGTTATGTATGACGTGCCCTCCAATAGGCCACAACTTAGAACTTATTTGTATCATAATCAAAATGATACAAAACCGTACAAATGGCACTTTTCTTCATGTCAAGGTGCGTCCTACGAAGCCCCTATCAAACATTTAACAATGCGTAGACATTGCTTATAAATCTCGTAGCTTTAACGACATCAAAAAACTTGATCGTTATAGACGTGAGGAAAAACTTAACAACAAGACAAAAAGCGCCACCTGGAATCGATTCAGCTACTAAACTTTTCAACCACAAAAAGCTTATTTCTTCGGGACTCAAGCCAACAATTTAAGACGTGAAAGTATTTGAAATTGTTAGAATGTACTTACTGTTTAGTGTAAGAAACCCAATATTATATATAGGGTCGATTGCCTTAGGACTTTTTCGAGGTTTTGCGTTTTTAGTCTGATATGCGAATAGGTTTTAGGCACCTCACCGAGCTGCTCTACTGAAACGGTCCCGGGTTAGTAATATTATAAACACAATATATTGCAATGAAAGCTAGCAGAAGTCAAATATTCTACAATCTCCGAAAACTTATACACAACGGTTTAAAAATTGTTTTTTTGAAATAAAAAGTTGTATGTTTTTATCATAATTTTATATTCAAATTGAAGTCCTCATTACGTACACAACAATGTATTCTAATTGGAGAGTACTAGACTACGGAACACTATAAATCTGTATGCTCTTAAAATTATATGGCGTGTGTGACTTTTGTAACATAGTATAAGTGTAATGCGAACATACATAGATCAGCTTAGGTACGCTTTTAGAATTTTTTGATTTGTCATTTTACAAGACTTTCTATTTTTTAAACATAGTCTCTCTGGTTTCTCAGTCACTTTAGATGTAACCAACTTTTTAACTGCATTGACAACAGCACAATTGTAGATGTCAGATTAGGTACTCTTAGAATTTCCTTGTTTTGTGACATGAGTTTGTTGTATATCATATTAACATTACAGCCAAAAACGAAAGCGGGCCTGCTGTCGCTACGAATGTTTGCCGAAGCTATGAAGGTGAATGCAATTTATGACAAATACAATGTCGCCTCGTACCTTATGGGAGCTGGGCTCTCCACAGCCCCAAAGTACAGGCGCCTTGGTATTTCTGTTGAGCTACTCAAGTGTAGGTAAGCATTGAACGTAAATTTAGAACTGGAAAGACGTTTGGCCACAACCCCACCTGATGTGGGCTATTGGAGGCACAAAAAAGCGCGATTAGTTTCTAAAATACTACTACAGATACCGGCAAACATCTTGAACAAATGTCTTTGCCTGCGCAGAAGCGATTTTTAGGTATCATTGGGAGGGGGGCGGCGGGCGGTGGTGCGCGGCGACGGGAGAGTGACATGTCGATCGCGTGTTAGGCAAATCAATTTACGTTTATGTGTACGATGCGCAAACTTTCCCCTACTCCCCTTTTTAATTCTCAAGAAGTTTGCCGGTATCTGTACTACTACTATTTCTGTTCAACTACTCAAGTGAAGGGAAGCATTGAACGTCAATTTAATTCCCTAATAATTGAGAAAATGACGTTGAATATGTAAAACGACATGATAGAACAACAAAAATGCAATATTAAAAAATAACCGTATATATTAAAAAAAGCCTTATTGTGTATGACGTTTTTGTATGCAAAAACCATGTAATTCTGTGAGAATCGTAACCCAGATGTCGCAACCTAGGGATCGCGCGGTAAAAAACTCGTTATCGTTGTCAGGCTCACTGTCGGAATCGCTATTAAGTTACGAATATGTCTCTGTTCTAAGGAGTTTTGAAAAATATATATGTTAATCTTAACTGTGTTATAAAATAGCTAAACTACAGCCTTGCAATTCTGTAACTCACTTTACGAACTCACACAGCGGTTTTCACAGCGGCGGTCGCGCTCAAATCAATCGTAAACCGCGGTAAGAGTTCGAAAAGTGAGTTACAGAATCGCAAGGCAGTTCAGAGGAGTTGTTCGGTCTAATACCTGCAGCTGAGATTCATTATCCGACTCATACATAGCTGCCCACTGAAGTATTTCCGAACCAATTCGACTTGGGTCCTTCAAGAAAAGAGCGTACCAATTCTTGAAAGGCCGGCAACGCACTTGCGAGCCTTCTAGCAGTGTGAGTGTCCATGGGCGGCGGTGTCACTTAACATCAGATGAGCCTCCGCCCATTTGCCTCCTATTACATTAAAAACTTCACTGTAAATTAACTTATATCGACAACTAATGTAAAGTCATAACCCAAATTGTTTTTGACTTTGGCTGTTTGGAATTTCACTTGTATATGTCATTATCTGTTCGTAGGTTAAAAATAGTTTTAAAACTGTTAGTAATCTATAGAAAACCACCAATTGCACTAAGCCTTTATGTAACATAAATAAAAAATACCTGCTTAACTTCGTAATTTATAATTTGTATCAAATTTGTTTGTGAAGTGTATTTTAAAACAACCTCTTTAACGGATGAAAGTGAAAAGCAAATCAATAAACTTTAATTATTCGACACAACTATAAAACTCTCAAATCCCATTTAAAATAAAGTAGATATTTCAAACGAAATACCTAATGTGTATTTTAACGAGTTTGTTGCCTTGGAGAATTCCTTTCAGGAAAAGTTGACATGGTAACATTTTCATAAATGTTTGTGTTTTGTAGTACCAGTTCCCGTCGTGTTGTATCGTTTTAATTAAATAAATAGTACTTAGACAATAACATTTACAGATAGTTTTTTTACCTTCATTAATTTAATAATGAGATATTTTTCCCCGGCTATTATTTTTCGTGAAAAAATATCCGCTCAATGTTTGTGCAAAAGATTAATTATTATTCTGTTATTATAATAATATTCCTTATTATTGTGGTTTGAATAAACAATGATCGTGTGATGAAAAAACAAGCTTGTCAACTTATCTCATTTCAACGTATCAAGTAGTTAATTAGCTTTGAAACAAAGCTATAAAAATATATAATTTTTATTATATAATCTTAATTATTAATTCTAAAATACTTTCCAACTAAATCGTAACATGTAATAGGTAGATTTCTGCATTCGTTTCATTGATTTATTGGCAAATTGATGATTTCTGTACCTTATTTTACTGTATATACGACAAAATAGTTTAATTTTTAATGTTTAAAGAACTCTATTAGTCATTACAAAAAGAATGTATTTCATTTACATGAGAAACTATGTATAAACGAACGAGATACACGTCGCCATTAGCCGTCCCAATTTTAGTCTACTCTCATTCTGATTCTTTAATGCCCTTTTGAATTGGTTAAACGCGCTAAAATTACGAATTTTAGACGTTTTTTGATTACATAATTGCCCTCATACTTAATAGACTTCTTCAAATAATTAGTATGGGCTTCGGCAAGATAAGCAAACTCGCTCGATGAGTATTGCGTGTAGTGGTGTGTTTGATTTTTTTAAATGATAAGCAACAATGGAGAGAGTTATTTAAAACTTCTTTAATTAAGATACTGCTTTAATTGATAACGCAGAAAACAGTAAAGAAAAAAAACTAACCAATCTTGATGATCATATTTTTAGAATGATGCTGGCAAAGGCAATCGATCAGACAGTAACCGGGGGTATATTCACAAGTATAGCAGCTCAAAAGGCAGCGGAAAAGGCTGGGATGGAATGTCTATACGAAACCTCGTACAAGGATTTCGGTGTACAGTGCGAAATCGATTTTAACACGGACACCGAGTACTTGAAGATTTTCGGTAAGAGAATCGAATAAAGAAGCGTAAAGGAAAATCTTCGAGGCTTTTAGTATTCAGTTTACGACGTCATAATACAGATTGTAAACGCACTTCAAGATTTATGTTTTTGGACATTGTATATCTTTTGTCTTGTAATTTGATATAAAATAAACCTTTGTAGTAAGCATTTGTTTCAATACAGTAAGGCAATTAATAATTTTACAGTAAGTCAATCAAGAACAATCCCCTCACACACACCTACCTACATGCACACACAAATGAAAAAAAAAAACATGGCGATTAAAAAGAGTGGCGGAGAGTTTATTGCCAGTTCTTCTCTTCCGTTCTACGCCCTTGATTTGAGAACTGGCACTAAATGTAAAATTAGAAGCATTAATATGTATTTCTTTACTGACAAGTCATAAAGGTGGGAACTGACCAACGTTACGAGGTGTAATGTAACATGTAATGTAATGTTACGGGGAAACCAGCGAGCAACGAGCCGCTCGTTGCTCGCTTTGAGTGCTCCACCCGGCTGTCGGTTTTTTAGCGAATCCTTTGACTGTTACGCGGTTCAGTAATTACGCGTTGCACGTCGCGAGTGATCATGATTATGATTTTCTATAAATAGTGTCTATTTTAAGTACTTTTGGTCCAATTAAATTCAACAGTTCTTCAAAATCGAGACCTGCGTACAAAGTTTTTATACTGTCCAGTAATCATTTGGTTTTTAATATTGCAATCAATAACAAACCACCTCATACGCCTGTGTTTTTAAATAAGTTTTATGTCCAGTAACATTTTTTCTTCTTCTTAATTTGGATGAAACAATAATTAAATAGAATGAAAGATATCAACGTTATCACTATCACATCTCGTGAACACTGGCGGCTTAAGTGGAGCATAGAGTTTTGACGAGCATGTTACGCCGATTTTAGAACACAGCGTAACATGCTCGATGCGTAACACGCTCGATGCGAATGCTACATTACACCTCGTAACTTTGGTCAGTTCCCAACTTTAGTGTACAATGTGTTACCTTTATGATTAAATGATTTTTGAATTTTGAATTTTGAAATACATACGCAAGCACACACCCCAGCCCACTCCAACAAAAAGAAAATGTGTTCACGTAGGAATAGCGAGGTCTTAAGCCTTGACAACTGACCCATAGTGTTGTCTTAAAGATTATTTTCTTATTTTAACTAATCTACAATGTATTTAAGCATAATTGAATAAAAAGTAGCGTAAGTCGTCTAATCGAGACATAAAACCTAGTTTCCTTTTAAATCTGTAAAATTTTCATTTTGTTTAAATTATAACAGCATAAAAATAATTTAAAACGATATGGAATTAGCGTGGATGTGACTTTAGCTTGCGACTCTTATCCGTGAGGTCGTAGGTTCGATGTGCTGTGCACCAATGGACTTTCTGCCTATGTGCGCAAATCACATTCCCTCGAACGATGAAGGAAAACACCGGGAGGAAACCATTTTCTTAGACCCAAAAAGGGCGGCGTGTGTCAGGCACAAAAGGCTGATCAACCGTTTACCTATAAGATTGACAAATGATCATGAAACAGATACAGAAATCTGAGGCCCAGACCAAAAAACTGGTTTTAGAAGACTAAAGTTTTAAAAATTTATTGTATCGAAAGTGATAAAGCAAAATAGTTTCATATTATCTAAATCGCATGAAAGTAATATTTTTATGACTTGTAGATAAAACACGCCTACAAAAAACTTAATAGCAACCAGTACTGTCAAATCGTAAAGTGACTTTGGAATAATAAGTGTAAGATAACGTAACGAAAGCTATACTTTAGAATTGCAACGCACTCGCAAGCCCTCTGGCCTCGTGGCCATGGGCGATGATATTACTTAACATTAGATGAGCCTCCTGCCAGTTTGCACCGTTATAAAAAAAAATACTTTAAATCTAAGTCAGGGCTTTGTTGGACTGAGGCTGACCAATCATATTTAAGCGAGCCTGACTTCGCTTTGTCTTTGTTCTAAGATGATATTGACAAAACAAAAGTCCCAAACATTAAGTGCTAAAAATAATACCAAGGACATACAATATTTAATAACCAGATACGCAGTAATATGTTTTATAATTAATTCTCAGAGGATTATACCAAATCATTTATCGCAATAAGACAATGATATCCACCAGAGATTCGAATAATACGGTCCGCAGTGATTAGTACGTGACACGCATAGTGTTCTTAAGGTATTTGCGTTTAATTACCGAGACTGAATGCCAAAAGGGTCTGTAAATCTCCAATTTCCACTGAAAATGGCTGGTAGTTCCCTTCGCATTACTTTACATTGGGTAACTTAACTCAAATCGAGCCTCATAATGTTTTGAATAATATGCTCGTTACGCGTAACTACTACTACCTTCCGCCCTATTTTTACCCGCGTTTTGACTTATGTATGTCACTTAAATGGAGATGGGCAGGTCTTGTAGCAAGACTGTCAGACGAACTGTGGTCCATAAGGGCGACCCAGAGGAGAGGCTCTATTGTGAAACGAATCAGAGGGACACTGCTGCGAGATGGGCGCATGCCATTATCAAAACGGCTGGCTCGAACTAGATATAGTTTTCCCATGACAGAGATACCTGGAGATCATTGGAAGAGGCCTTCACCTGCAGAGGGGTTCTTGCAAATTAATTAGAAATAATATTAAAACAAATTTTAAAAGTTTTGTTCCTGTGGAAGTGTACCTTTAATGCTGGCAGCATTTCCTCGCTGTATTGCGATATGTATTTATTGAGTGAGGAAAGCACCAGCTCTAGGGTTCAAAAGGAGTATAATCTATTTATAAGAATGCATCTCTATTTCTTTCTTCTTTTCTATTTTCTAATGATCTACGGATGCGACATTTTCGATAATTCTTTACGCTGTTTAGAGAAGGTTTTTATTAAAGAAAAAGGAAGTTGAGCGGAAAATTGGTTATTGTATAAAACTTAACCACAATGTTAAATTTCCATAACTGTCAGTTATTTGAATAGCTGTCAGCGATTGACAGAGTGCGCGCTGCAAATATATTTTAACACACATATAACAATAACAAAAACTACGTTTTTAATAATATTTGTTTTAATTAATTTTATCAATTCAAGTTCAATATTCATAGTTAACATGTCTGTCGGGTCAGGTAGTTAATAAACAATGGAAATATAGAATCAATTATAAAAATACTTCTTAGAACAATGTATCACCAACCGACAGCTTATGAGTTCTTCCGACAAATATAAATTTGTGAACAGTGCCCCAGTAGACTGGGGGGTATGAATGTCGTACAGATGGACAATTCAACCTACCTAAATTAGTTCGTTATAACAAGTTGAAACTTGTTAAATGTATTTTTACATCGAAGTTGGCACAAACACTGTTCATACTCGTAATTGCACGTACTGCGTGTGACACACGAGGTTACGAAGGTAAGATTGAAATTGATAAAGTTTATTAAACGTCATATTCCCGCATTGTCTCATATTTCAATGAGAGCTATTAGTTATAGCTGGCTTAACCCTGTACCAGCTCTTGCAAGGTATAAAGCTATCTTCAAGTTATCAAACTGAATAACTGGGCATTTCAAGAGATGAATAGTGTAGAAGTGGAATATTTATATATTTATTTATTTATACATATATTAATAAATAAATATATAAATATATATAGCCACAAGGCCACACAATAACATAAAATGAAAAAGAACGAAGGCATGCACTAACATAATGTTTATCCTACTAATATTACAAACGCGAAAGTTACGTAAGTAAACGTGTAAGTATGGATGGATGTTTGTTACTCTTTCACGTAAAAACGACTGAATGGATTTAAATTAATTTAAATTACACGTATGTATTGTATGTGTATATATATCTATATCTTACGTGTAAGCCATTATATCCAAAATAGTCTATTAGTATAATAAAAGTATATTAATAGTTAAATGTTTTCTAATTAGCAATTTAGAATGGTTTTTTGCCCATTAATTCCAATTTAGCTATTTTTTAATTAAATAGGCAGGTATTGCATTTTTAATGTATAAACATAATAACAACTACTGTACTGTATTTTTAAGAAGTGTGAAAAAAGCACGTACTGAGATTTATCTCACAAAGGCACAACAGCGACGACTAATTTTTACTCAGACGAAGTCGCGGGCACCAGCTAGTTATATAACAATGCTTACAATTAATAAGTTTACATAGATAAATATTACTAAAGGATTACAAGATAAATGTATGAAGCATAGCGAAAAAAAAGTGATAACGTAAAGTAGCTTTAATCACGCCCGAATTTAGAGGTACAGAAGATTAGGAGGTCTCGGTGCAACACGGGAGAGGAGGCCAGTCTTTTCCAGTAGAGCTTTTCAATCAATAATGTATTGTGAAACCAAGTAGATTCTTTTTTAACAAACATAAACATATATCAAAAAAAAGTTGTTTACTAGTCGAAATTTCAAAAAAATATTTTAAATTCCGACTAGTAAACTTCTTACTATAAGAAGTAAGACTTTTGTGGAGGCCCCGGGTCTGTAGCCCTGGTTGTTCTTCTCTAAATTCGGCCCTGGATATAATTAAATTAATAATAAATTAGTTTTTGTTAAGTCAATTAACAGTTTTCTATGTGTTTTATTTGTAACCGTCGAATATAAATTCAAGAATTTGGTAAAATTCTGTTTTTCCAATAATTGTAAAATGCATAGTTGTTATATTACCACTTGATTACTACCCGAATTTTATAATAATGTTTTCAAATACGGATAAATTCTGAATTTTGTCATAATTTAATGTTAGCTAATCTTTCTTTACACAATAAAGAAAGACTATCAATTATTCTGGTCGTCGTAAAAAAACTAAAGGTATATTTTACATAAGGTCGTAATATTGATTCAAAATCTGTGTGTTAAATTGCTTTATACCGCTCCAAACTAGTCACTGTAATAAAATACTTCTATTTACATAATTTCGAAAATTTCATCTAATATATAAAATTCTCGTGTCGCGGTGATTGTGGTTA